GCTTAACTCAACGTTTCTCAGACTCAGCTGCTTGGACTTCAGTCTGGACTTCAATTCCCAGAATTCCTCTCATCCCTCCTCCCAGAAACCCATGGGGCCTCTCCCCCCTGACCCCACTCCCTCCCCCCACTGAGGCTGTTTGGGAGTTCCTGCTGAGATCATCCATGTTGGGTGGGTGGGTGGGTGGACTCAGCTGGGGTCCTCTCCCTAAAGCCAGCCTCTTGTCACCTTTAAAGCCGTCTTTAAATCAAAGATAAACACAGAACATTATTTCAGTTTCTGTCCTGCAAACTCCTGATCCTGAAGCATCAAACATTTTTCAGCCCTTCCTTGGAGGACACACTCAGTTCACAAGACATAAACTATGCCAATTTCCACTTTGGGGGGTGCCCAGATAGACTTGATTGACATCTGGAGGGGCGATCCTTATCCTGTTCTCCTGGGGTGGGAGAGACACAGCAGCAGCTTTGGGGCCTGATGTCAAAGTGGCCAAAGGGAGCGGATTAGAAAGAGGTGCTGAAGGAAAAATCTTCATCCTGGTTCATCCAAGCCAGGGATAAATCAACAACATGGTGACGGCTTTTGAAAGAAGGTTGCAGTTTATTGAAGAGCCAGACCGAAAGATGGTTCTGGCAGGAAAGAGGAGAGAAAAGAGGGTGAGCACATGCGGAGAGTAGGTTTCTATACCCTCTGAAGCCTTTTGTCTGAAGTTGCTTCCTGTTCCTGTGTTGAGGCTTTGTATTTCCTGTGTCACGTATTCTGAGTCTGGGTGTGCCTTGCTGGTATTCTGATGGTGATGGGTTAGTCCTTTTATGACCAAAGGTCATATCCTGCTTCCTTAGTACTGGGGCTAATGACGCTTAGAGTTTGGGTGCGATATGCAGATTTTAGGTGTCTTCCTAAGCTTCTAGCCCCAACTTTCCTGATGGTTTACATCTGCATTTGTACAGGGCTGGCTTCTACTTGGGGGAGGCAGACCTGGGGCTTTTAAGAAAAATTGGGCATGCTTTTCTGTCTCTTTAATATCCTTGGAGGAAATATATTTTTCTGCCTTTTTAATATTTCCCTCTCTGGGGGGCTGACTTCCCACAGAGGACCGAATCAGGATTCTTTTTCTGGGAATAAACTTTTTTGGGGGGGGGGGGAGGAGAGAGAAAGTTTCCCTGGCAGATAAAAAAAAGCCTGAAAACCCACCCACCCCGGCCCCCAAAGGGACTCACCGAAGCAGCTCTCCTGCAGGGCGGCCACCACCACCACCAGGATCAAGAGAAGCGCAGAGCGCAGAGCCATCCCGGCCGCGATCCTCCACCTGCGCCCCGCTTCCTGGAAGTCGCGGCCAAAGAAAGAGGCGCCTCCCATTGCTAAACAACCGCAACACTCGACAAGCGATTGGGCGAGGTCAACCAATAGAAAAAAAGTATTCACATGTCGTCATAGTTGCTAGGCAGACGTCCAGGCACAAAGGGAGAGAAGGATGGCGGAGGGGGTGCGGGGATACGATATCTTCTGGCGTTACTTGAGGGGCTGTCACAGAGGAGATTGATTTATTACCCAAAATATGAGACAGCAAGACAGGAAGCAACGGATGGAAGCTTGTTCAAGAGAGATCCAAAAAAAGATGATAAAAGGTCTGGAGCAGAGGTCCTCACAACGTTGGTAACTTTAAGACTTGTGGACTTCAACTCCCAGAATTCCTCAGCCAGCTTTGCTGGCTGAGGAATTCTGGGAGTTGAAGTCCACAAGTCTTAAAGTTACCAACGTTGGAGAACCCTGGTCTGGAGGCTAAATCATATGATGAACGGTTGAAGGAGTCAAAATAAAGAAAAATAAAGAGGCAGAAAAAAAACTGGCTTTCAATCCAAGCAAGTATGATGAAGATTAACAATTTATCACTCTCCCTTAAAGTAAAACCAGCGACTCTTCACTTTATTCCTCCCCCCATTCTCCATGAACCCCTTCTCTAAAACCTGTTAATCAGCAGAAGTCTATTAAAGGTCCTCAGAAATAACAACGTGTAACTGCTACAAGCTCTGTTACAAAACTACTACAAGCTGTACAAGCCACTTTGATCTAGATCAGGGGTCTTCACACTCGGCCCTTTTATGACTTGTGGACTTCATCTCCCAGAATGCCTCAGCCCGGCATGCTGGCTGAGGCATTCTGGGAGTTGAAGTCCACAAGTCATAAAAGGACCCAGTGTGAAGACCCCTGATCTAGATGCTAAATCACCAGCCTAGAAAGCAACTCTCTAAGTCATTTACAGAGTCAGCCTCTTGCCCCCAACAATCTGGGTCCTCATTTTACCGACCTCGGATGGATGGAAGGCTGAGTCAACCCTGAGCCGGTCAGGGTAATCCCACTGTGATTATCCCAAGTTTGCTTCATTTCAGCAGCCCAATTAGGGCACTAAAATCATCATTCCCAGATGCTTGCAATGCACCAGATTTATTCTGAATCTCACCCTTCACTTTCCACAGAAAATGCCCCCCCCCAATTTTCCTTCTTTGATGCTCATCTTGCACTTTGTCAGCACAAGGAAAGGTAGAAATAACCCTCAGCCAGCTGGGGAGGAAGGTGATCTGGGCTATCCGACTCTTCTCTCAATGTAAAGGCTTCAATCAGAGTTTCTCAGACTCAGCCACTTGGACTTCAACTCCCAGAATTCCCCTCACCTGGCAGAATCCCATGGGGCCTATCCTGGAAAAAAAATCTCTGGGGATCTTGTGCTTTAGGAGGGGCGGGTAGTGGAAGGGGGAGAAGAAAGTGAAAATAAACAAGACGGATCTTTAGGAAGATTATTCCAGGAATGTTTCTCTCTCTAGACTCTTTCCCTGCTGCATTTACACGGCAGCCGTATCCAGACGGCTCAGTTGCAGCAGCCTCCTAGCCAGCCAGAGGACAGGAAGGCCTGGAGCAGTGGTTCTCAACCTTTTTAATGCCGTGACGCCCCCCCAACCGGTCGTAAGTCGAGGACTACTCAACTGGTGCAGCACCGTTTGCAGAATGGGACTTTTGGCGGGCTCAGCAGGGCAGAGACAGCCTGGACAATTCCTATTGGCTTTTGAAAGCCAATAGAATTAGACTCTATTCAAGAGGGTCTATTCTATTGGCTTTCAAAAGCCAATAGAATAAAAGGGAGTAGCACAGCTAAGAAAAAGGAGGAAAAAAATGGCGGACTGCGTTGTTTGGCGACCCCTGTGAAATGGTCGTTCGACCCCAATGGGGTCCCGACCCACAGGTTGAGAACCACTGGCCTGGAGGAACGTTGTCCATGGGGTCGCGATGGGTCAGACACGACTTCGCAATTAACAACAACAACCAAGTCAGCCAACACACGGAACTGATTCCAGAAACTAGCCGGGTCCTCCCAGCACCAGAAACCAGAAAGATCCACAAAGCCCGGCCAAAGGCCCCGAGATTGTGTCTTTATGTGTGTGTATGCGCCAAGCAGCCAGGAGGTTGTGAATTGACCTGATCACCTGCAAATGCTGCTTTCTAACAACCTCCACTTTCAGGAAGAGAAAGAATTGGGCTGGGGGGGGGGGGTGCCCAATTCCAGACTGACATCTGGAGGGACCACTCTTGTCCTGGAATAGAGTGGAGTGGAGTGAAGTGGAGTGAAATGAAAGAGAAGAGAAGAGAGAATAGTGAATAGAGAATAGAGAATGGAATAGAATAGAATAGAATAGAATAGAATAGAATAGAATAGAATAGAATAGAATAGAATAGTTGGAAGGGACCTTGGAGATCATCTAGTCCAACCCCCTGCTCAGGCAGGAAACCCTATACCTTTTCAGACAAGTGGTTGTCCAATCTCTTCTTAAAAACTTCCAGGGTTGGAGCATCCACAACTTCTGGAGGCAGGTTGTTCCACTGGTTAATTGTTCTAACTGTCAGGAAATTACTCCGGAGTTCTAGGTTGCTTCTCTGTTCCCAGAGGGGCTGTGCCTGTGGGTGGGGGAAGAGCGGTGGCAGCAGCAGCAGAGTCTCATCCACGCTTTGGGGCCTCCTCTTTTTGTTGTTGTTGTTAATTGCAAAGTCGTATCCGACCCATCGCGACCCCATGGACAACGTTTCTCCAGGTGTTCCTGTCCTCTACCATCTTCTGGAGTCCATTTAAGTTCACACCTCCTGCTTCAGTGACTCCATCCAGCCATCTCATTCTCTGTCGTCCCCTTCTTCTATTGCCCTCCATCTTTCCCAACATTAGGCCCTTCTCCAATGAGTCCTTCCTTCTCATTAGGTGGCCAAAGTACTTGAGTTTCAACTTCAGGATCTGGCCTTCTAAAGAGCAGTCAGGGTTGATCTCTTCCAGGACTGACCGGTTTGAACGCCTTGCAGTCCAAGGGACTCGCAGGAGTCTTCTCCAGCACCATAGTCAAAGGCCTCAATTCTTTGGCGCTCAGCCTTTCTTATGGTCCAACTTTCACAGCCATACATTGCAACTGGGAAAACCATGGCCTGGACTATACGCGCTTTTGTTGGACCCAAAGGGGAAGGGAGCGGATTCGAAAGAGGACCAAATCAGGGTTTTATTTCTGGGAATATTGGGGGGGAGGGGGAGAGAGCGATTCCCTGGATGGATTCCCACCAGCAGAAAAAGGGGCCCCGAACCCCCGAAGACCCCCCACAGGGACTCCCCGAAGCAGCTCTCCCACAGAATAAACGCCACCGAAACCAGAAGCCAGGGGGGCGTAGAGCGCCCCGCCATCCTGTCCACTAAATTCAACCTGCGCTACTAAATGGCGGGAAAGAGTCCACCCCCCCCCCCCGGTGATCAACAGCCCAGCGGACCCTCCCGCTTTTCCCAGCCCCGCCGTTCTGCCCCTCCCCCCCCAAGAGGCGGAATCCCTGGAAGGGGATTTCCCGATGGAACTTTCACTTTCCTTTCCCCGCCCCCGTCTCTCGAGCTGCGTCTGGACCTCCGCCCAGCAACAATGACGACATGGGCCTATTCTTTTTTTCCATTGGTCGAGTTCGCCCAATCGCCAGCGGGCTCCGGATTGTTGCGCTTGTTGATCGACGCGACTCTTTCTCTGGCTGCGGCTTCCGGGAAACGGAGCGCGGGTGGAGGATCGCCAGCCGGGATGTCTCTGCGCTCTGCGCCCCTGTTGCTTCTAGTATTGGTGACGGTCGCCTCGCAGGAGAGCCGCTTCGGTGAGTCCCTTCGGGGCCCGGGGGGGGGGAAGAGTTTCCCGCCCCTTTTATCTGCTAGGGAAACTTTCTCTCCTCCCCCAAAAGTTTATTCCCAGAAAGAGAATCCTCACCCGGTCCTCTTTCTAGTCCGCTCCCCCTCCCCCCCTCTGGCCACCTTATGATTTAAGTCAGTGTTTCTCAACCTTGACAATTTTAAGGCACGTGGACTTCAACTCCCAGAATTCCACAGCCAGCATGGAATTCTGGGAGTTGAAGTCCACATGCCTTAAAATTGTCAAGGTTGAGAAACACTGATTTAAGTTGCCTGGGCCTCTGAGTTTTAATCACGTGGTCATGGGGATGCTGCCAAGTTCGCAACTGTGAAGGACGGTCACGAGTCATTTTCCTTAGTGCCTCTGTAACTTTGAACGGTCACTAAATGAACTGTTGTAAGTCGAGGACTACCTGTAAAGCAGGAGAAGCGTGTACAGAGAAGCTTTCCTTGAATGATCTTCCTAAAGACCTGTCCTTTTTTCTTGTCATTTTTCTCCTCGATCTCCCTCCCCCCCTGCTCCATCCTAAACCCCAGTATTATCCCTGGGCTTTTTTTCTAGGACAGGCAGGATTCCTAATAATAATAATAATAATAATAATAATAATAATAATAATAATAATAATAATAATAATAATAATAATAATAATAATAATGTGGACGTGGCAGTGCCTGGAGACAGCAGAATCGAAGAGAAAGAACTGGAGAAGATAACAAAATACAAAGACCTACAAATAGAAATAGAAAGACTGTGGCAAAAGCAAGCAAGGATAGTACCAATAGTAATAGGCTCCTTGGGTGCAATCCCAAAGCAGCTGGAGCACCACTTGAACACCATTGGCATAGACAAATTCGCTATTAGTCAATTGCAAAAGGCGGCCTTACTAGGAACTGCTTCCATCCTGCGACGATATCTGTAATACCATCAAACCTCCACATCTGCCTATCCCAGGTCCTTGGTAAGGACTCGATAGGTAGACTAAATGCCAAATCCAGCCTGAACATCTGGCTGACTGTGCGATGATCCATAATAATAATATAATAATAATAATAATAAACCTTTTATTATCAAAGTATAATATGTATACAGTGAAATTGGCTGAGCCTCCCTCTGTGCCCCCCCTCACCACAAACTCACAGTGACTACAAACCCCCAACTTATTTCACCCTGTGAACTAATTGCACATCACGCAGGCCTCATGAGTCTTGTCATGCATAAAGTTATAAAGTTATGTCCCATTCAGAAGCCTGACGGCCCATAGATAAAAGCTGTTCTTCAGCCTGCTGGTACGGTTGGCTATGTTTCTGTATCTCCTACCCTCCTTCCATTTCAGAAGCCACCAACATGGGACAGTTGGCAAAACTAAAAATATTTAAAATTCATTATTCCTTAGTAATTCGAAAGAGGGTCTTGGGGTGTTCTTGCTTGTTTGCGCAGGGAAACTATCAATGGAGCAGCTTTCCAAAAAGGTATAAAAAAGAAGCATTGAATAGGGTAAGTTGGAGGCAGAAGCAGAGAAGCTACTATGGATGGAGAGCATGAAATGGATGGCTTGCTTGGACACAGACAGGCCCAAGCTGACCAGCCCTTCCTGACTTGAGGATTTACGATTGTGAGGATGCCCAACCTGCGTTACATTCACATGTTTCTCCTCTCAGGCAGATTTCAGACTCCCTCACTGCTCAGCCCCACAAGGGAAAGAAGCCGGTTCTGGATCATGGAAGATCCGATTCCCCCTCCTTCTCTTGGAGAAAAGCCCTAATCCCTTTGGATTCTGAAATCTCCCCAGAGCAGGAAGTGGATCTGGGGATCACTCTCCCCAAAAGCTCTGAGAAACCACTGGAATTGTGGGGAGGAGCAGGAAGAAGGAGGCCGAGGCCTTTGCCTTGGATGACTGGGAAGGGCTGGGAGACCATGTTGGAGGGACTGGGCAGTGGGACTGTTTCTTTCACTGGGCTGTATAGGTCCTGCCCTTTTCTGTGCAGATCCAGGTTATGGCCAAATGATCCTTAAAATGATCTTTAAACTCTTTAGTGCCCTGGAAGAATTCCTGATCTGAAGATCACAATGGTCTCTTTTTTTCAATTGCAGCCCCTTCCTTGCTGATTTTTCAGGTTAACTGATCTTAAGATATTTAAATGTAGTAGCTGGAACAGTAAAATTGGACAATGGGCCAGGACACACAGTTGCAGCTGATTGGCTAGAGAGTGCCGGCTCCTGCAGGAGGCAATCCATGCTGTGATTGGTTGCTGTGAGTGTAAAGGGGGAGTTTCCTTTTTTTCCCGCCTTTTTCTTCTGTGTGTTCTGTATGCTGCTTGATTTACCTCATGATGCTCCTCTTTATCCTGCCCATCTTGTCTGCTGTAGATATAGGTGTAAAATGTATTCATTTGTATAAAACTACATGTTTGTATCAGTTTCTTTGACTTCATTTGGACACCGGCTGCTCAATTCCTTGACGAAGTCATTTGTCGGGCACATCTTATTTTCCTTTGATTATTATGTCCCAAAGGACTTTCTTTGTTTTCCTCGAAGACACTTTAGCTTCACATCCAAGAATAGCCATAGCACTTAGACTCATACAGGTCGTCCTCAACTTATAACCACAACTGAGCCCAACATTTGTTGCAAAGTGAAACATTTGTGAAATGAGTTTTGCCCCATTTTACGACATTTCTTGCCACAGTTGTTCAGTGAATCACTGCAGTTGGTAAATTAAGTAACGCAGTTAAGTGAAATTGGTTTCCCCTGGACCCCCCTGGACATTGCAACTGTCATAAATACGAGCCAGTTGCCAAGCATCTGAATTTTGATCACATAACCATGGGGATGCTACAATGGTCGCAAGTATGAAAAATGATCCAGTGATGTTGTAACTTTGAATGGTCACTAAATGAACTGTTGTAAGTCGAGGACTAGCTGTATACCGCTTCACGGTGCTTTACAGCCCCCTCTAAGCAATTTACAGCAGAGTCCCCCAACTTTTCTGGTTTGGCGGCCCAAAAGGAAAGGGAGCAGCAGGGAAATGTGCGTGTGCATGACCCCGTGTGCGTATGTGCAAAGGCTGCGTGCATGCATGTGCAAACAGGCCGCCGGTGCTCACCATGTGACCCTGGTGGCGGTGCTAACATCCCTGCGCATGTGCAAATGGGCTAGGGCCCATGTGGCAGTGCTACTGTGAGTGGAGCGGGGCTCACCAGCTATTCCCCGGGCCCGGTGGCCAACAAGCCACGGCCCAGTATCGGGTTGTGGACCATAGTTTGGGAACCCCTGGTTTACAGAGTCAACATATTGAACCCAACAATCTGTGTTCTTATTTTACTGACCTCGGAAGGACGGCAGCTTCAGTTCTGAATGAATGGTGGTGGAAGGATTTATATTCCTGGTAGTCATCTAGTCGTTAGCACTCCCTCTGAGACTCCTTGAGGCCACTTGGAGGTTTATCTGTGCCCTCCGGGTCCCCTGAATAGAGATAGTCCTGAAGTTACAGCAGTTCATTTAGTGACCATCTGAAGTTACAATGGCACTGAAAAAAAGGACTTACAACCATTTTTCACCTTTACAACCATTGCAGCATCGGGATTTCTATTCGGACGCTTGACAACTGGTTCATATTTATGACGGTTGCAGTGTCCCAGAGTCACGCGATCCCTTTTTACAAACTTCTGACAAGCAAAGTCAAATTCACTTAACAAGCCTTGGAATATATATTAGCAAGAAGAAGGCTATTGAGTGACTGCTGCATAGTTCCCAGAGACCGGTGAGGTCCCACAGATTGGGCCTCCTTCAGATCCCGTCGGCCAGACAATGTCGGCTGGCGGGCCCTCGGGGAAGGGCCTTTTCTGTGGTGGCTCCGACATGGTGGAATCAACTTCCCCCCCGAGATTTGAACTACTCCCACCTTGCCGGCCTTCAAGAAAGCTATTAAAACTCTCCTGTTCCGGCAGGCCTGGGGTTGATGTCCCCGGGGGGGGGGATTCGATTGGGACATGCTGTGTGAATGTATTCATTTTTAATTGTTATATTTGTTGTTTTAATTTTGTACACCGCCCTGAGTCCCTAGGGATTGGTCGGCATATAAATTTTATTAATAATAAATAAATAAATAACATTATGATAATTAACTATTATCTATTATTGTTTGTTAAACACATGAACCCAGACATTATGCTGTTTGCTAAATATTGAGAATGTTATTTGGAAAAACCCCAACCCCAGCCTTAACCCAAATCCCAACCTCAACCCCACCTTATTCCTAACCCTGTAAAAACTAATAAAATCTAACAAGCCTAATTTAACAATTGCAGTGATTCACTGAGCAAAGGCAGCAGGAAAAGCCGTAAAATGGGGCAAAGCTCACTTAGCAAATTTCTCACTTTAGCAATGTCAATTTTGGGCTCCGCTGTCATCCATCAAGGACTACCTGTATTGCAAATGGATTGGAACCTCCTTGAAGCTGCTGAAAGGATGGTGTTGTCAATAGATCGGTGGTGTCCATCCTAGGAGAACAAGCCCATCAGGACAAGATGCGGCAGTCCATCTGAAAAAGAAGGGTCCAACTCCGACGGTCTCTGGATGAAGCGGATTATCTAGACCCTTTTCAATCTGGCTTCAGGCCCGGCTTCAGCACAGAAACTGCTTTGGTCGCGCTGATGGATGATCTCTGGCGGGCCCGAGACAGAGGTTATTCCTCTGTCTTGGTGCTACTTGACCTCTCAGCGGCTTTCAATACCATCGATCATGGTATCCTTTTGCGACGACTCGAAGGAGTGGGAGTGGGAGGCACCGTTTTACGGTGGTTCTCCTCCTACCTCTCTGGCCGGTCGCAATTGGTATTGGTAGGAGGGCAGAGGTCAACCCCGAGGCCCCTTGAATGCGGCGTGCCACAGGGGTCGGTCCTCTCTCCCCTCCTATTTAACATTTATATGAAGCCGCTGGGTGAGATCATCAGACAGCACGGGGTGAGGTTACACAGTATGCTGATGATACCCAGTTATATATCTCCTCCCCGAGCTCTCTCAGTGAAGTGGCCGATGTGATGGGCCGTTGCCTCGAAGCCGTGAGGGTCTGGATGGGGGTTAACAGACTCAGGCTCAATCCTGACAAGACCGAGTGGCTTTGGATGTTGCCTCCCAAGGATCATGCCGACTGTCCAGTGTTGACTCTTGCGGGGGAAAATATACCCCCTTCAGAGCGGGTTCGCAACTTGGGTGTCCTCCTTGATCCACAGCTGAATTTGGAACATCAATTGACGGCTGTGGCTGGGAGGACCTTTGCACAAGTTCGCTTGTTGCACCAGTTGCGACCCTACCTGGACCGGGAGGCTCTCCTTACAGTCACTCACGCCCTTGTCACCTCACGTTTGGACTACTGCAACGCGCTCTACATGGGGCTACCCTTGAAAAGTATTCGGAGACTACAGTTGGTCCAGTATGCAGCTGCGCGAGTGATAGTGGGTGCTCCTCGATACACCCACGTTACACCTATCCTCCGTGAGCTGCACTGGTTGCCTGTTGGTCTCCGGGTCCAATTCAGAGCCAGGCTATTTGCGAGTCCGCCTACTACCTCATAGTTCCCTATGTCCGGTTAGATCCCACAGGCTGGGCCTCCTTCAGGCCCCGTCGGCCAAGCAGTGCCATTTGGCGGGGCCGCGGAGGAGGGCCTTCTCTGTGATGGCGCCCACGCTTTGGAATCAGCTCCCCCCTGGAGATTAGGACCCCTCCCACCCTGTTGGTCTTCCGTAAGCTACTTAAGACCTGGCTTTTCCGGCAGGCCTGGGGTTTATAAAACCTTACCCCTGGATGATTGTTTTTGTATTGTTGTTTTGTTATGTTTTATGTGTTTTTTATTGTTAGCCGCCCAGAATCCTTCGGGAGTGGGGCGGCTTATAAATTTTAATAATAATAATAATAATAATAATAATAATAATAATAATAATAATAATAATAATAATAATAATAATAATGATGGTCCGTCTTTTGAAGACAGTGGTCCACATTCTGGACAGAGAGGGCCCCTGGTTTGAAAGGGGGGTCATACGCTATAATTGAACAACCCTCTCTCAAAAAGACAGGAAAGGATATGATACCACTTATTTCCTGTTTACAACACAATCCTTTCAGCAGCTCCAAGAAGGTTCCACTCCCATTTGCACTACTCGGGTGACTCTGAAGGCATAGAGAAACTCCTGTTGTGATTCCGTGCCAGCCTGTGATCTCGGTAGTTGAGTCTGGGTAATCCGAGGAGCAAGAGGGGCCTGGAGAGCCATCAGAGTCGGAGGGAGGCTCTGATGAGCTGCAGGACTTACAGACTAATGAAGAGGCCAGTCCTTCCACTTGTGATCGAGCTGAGAGCCAGCTGTGCTGGGAAGCTGAGTCAGAGGAAGCACAGCTGGAAGACCTCAGAGACGCTTGTAAACGTAGACAGGTCACACGAAAAGGACAGAGGGAGGCAACGGGGCAACTCCAGGGAAGGAGGAGAAAGCAGTGAGAAGCCATGCCTTGGGGGCTGCGTAACAAAAAAGGAATGTGTGAGCAGGGCTGGTTGCTGGAGGCAACCGTTTGCCAAGAACTTCAGTGTTAAGAGATCATGGTCTGTTTATTTTGCCTGTGTTATTTCCTGTTTGACTCGTGCTCCGTTTTTGCTTTTGGACAAGGTCCCCGTTGGAAAAGTGTTCTGTTGCTTTTGTTTTCTGGGACAATTATCAGGTCTGTAGCTCAAATAAAAAGGGTTTATTTTCCAGTCTATTGTTAAAAGAGGTTGTCTTTGTGAAGTAACAAGGACATACGTAGGCTGGGACAGAAGAACTCCAAGTGGCCCCCAACGAGTGGAATGAACCCCACTGAGTCCTGGGTTCAAAGCCAATTCCTACTCACGATGCCTGAACTCTGTGGGACAGGAGGGGGAACTTCCCAGCCGGGCATGAGAAGGAAGATGGCTTCATGGCTTCATTGCTGCTCTCCTTACTCCCACAAGGGTCCCATGGCCTCTGGTCCTTCCTGGATCCCTCTTTCTCTCCCCCGTCTAATAAAATCTCCCCTCGAATCTTAAACTTATTAATAACGCATGTTGGCCCTCAGTGGGGTGAGATTATTTGAAAGTTGGGGTGACCAAGTGGGGTTTCCTGCTGTTTGGGGGTTGGAACTCCCTCCAGGCCTCTGGGAAGCCTCCTTGGGGCAGAGACTGAGAAATCTAGGAGAGCCTTGCTGGAAGGAGGCACATTTGAGGGGGGGGGTGTCAAGTAGAGTTTGGGGGATCTGTTCTTGCTTTGGCCCTGCTTTTTCCTTCCCCTTCTCTCTCCCCCCAAACTTCTCTGCCCTCTAACCTTTCAGTCCTCCCCAAAAGTTGCTTCCTGTTTCACCCTCTGCCTCCTCTTCCTCTCGCATCATCTCTCCCTTCCTTTCCTCCCTTCTTTCTCTCCCCTCCCCCCCAGGTTTCTTCTTCCTCCCCAGACCCTAAGATGGGGCCAGCTGTGCCCCATAGGATCAGGGTTCCTGAGCTGAACCCTCCCTCACTTTGCTCCTCTGGGTCCCTTCCAGGCAACTCCTCGCACTCCCTGAAGTATTTCTACACCTCCATCTCGGACTCCAGTCAGGAATCGCCTCATTTTGTTGTTCTGGGGTACGTGGACAGTCAAGTCTTTGCTCACTACGACAGCAACAGCCAGAAGTTCCAGCCTCGAGTCTCCTGGATAGAGAAGGTGGAGAAGAAAGACCCCCAGTACTGGGAAAAATACACCGAGATATTACGTGACAACGAGAAGCTGTTCAAAGAAGACCTGGAGAAGCTGAAGACTCGCTACAATCACAGCAACGGTGAGTGATGGGACGGGTGGCTCCTCCTGCCCCATATTCCCCCCCCCCTGCCCTGCCCTCATCTGCCATCTTTGGGGGGACAAG